AGTATTCTTTAGGGCATTAGTCAAAGCCGTGAAGAACCCGGGCTTGTTTCTAGCGCCTTCCCTCGGAGCGTACGTGGAGAAATGCCCATAATTCGTAAGTGTCTCAGAACATGTACAGAGAGCGTTTACTCTTCCATAGCTGCCCACAGCTCACCCTTATATAACTGAGATTTGGGGTCTAAAGGATGCTAAGGGTCACAGGGTGTGCTTTCCAAGTGATTCTGAGCTTTTTCGTGGATTAAATTTTGTCCAGAACTGTTATTGTTATGGGTAACAGGTCTGTTCTCCAGAATTCTATTAACAGCCACAAACATTTAATTTTTCTGAGAAAGTAAAATCAAATTATACCTGTATACACACACACACACACACACACACACACACACACCCATATACTGTACCTTCAAACTACAAAACATATTTTCAGTTGCAGACATGGTAGGATACATGTGCCTTTTGCTAATGATGTTGGCTGACATAAGAAAAGTGAAGCAGAATTAGTAGTTAGATGGGACACCTCCAGGAGATCCCATATTTGTAAACTATTTAATAAGTTTTTTAAAAATCCAAGAAGCAATGGCAAACTTTTCTCAAAGCAGGAAATTTATTTATTTGATTTATACTCTGCATTTCTGTCTCTCTGAAAATCAAGGTAGCTGATATGAATAAAACAACCAACACATAGATCAAACAACAATATAACTATAATACAGATAAAAGTTAAACATTAAAATAAAATATATTTAAAATTAAGAATTAAAATTAAGAATTAAATGTTTGGAGGAAGAGATGTGATGTGCTTTCACCAACCTCCTAAATACTGCTTGTGCACAAATTATGCAGAGGAGGCTTCTGATTAAGCAGCATCTCCTTGTGTGTTTGGGGGAGGACTTCTCAGAACCCTTTCAGCCTTCCCATCATCCACTGCTGACTTGCACCAGGGAAAGGAGAGGGAAAACTTATTTTGCAAACGCTGACCCCACCTAAGATGTCTGTATGTTGGGGAGGAAGGTGCCAAGTGTTAAGATTAACATTAAATTGCACTGAAGATGTTACCTAGTTGGGTAATGAAATGTCTGCAAGAAAACAACCAAGCTCAGAGAACCCCAAGGACTCCACAGTTCAACCCTGAGCTACATACATTCTCTTCTAAGATTAAACAGACACCATTAAGGGAAAAAAGGGTTTGATTTACGAAGGGCTAAGTCCACTGGGTCTTGTTTTATGGCTTCTTACGCCAACCGGCAGGGATAAGGTGGGGGAGATTCTTTAAATAGATGCTGTTCAAAAGGTTAATCACACTGCCTAGGCACTGTGGTACTTGATAGGTTCCCTTCTTCCTTAGACTCTGGACGTAAAGGCACAAGAAGTAACCCCTTTCTAATGTACTGCTCCCTCCAAGTCTCTAGGGCATGATTCCCATCCTTCCCAGTCACAATGACCATTCTTATTGTCTCGATCTACATTTCCAGATTGGAGGTGGCTTCCTTAAACCAATAAATTGGCTGCACCTTGAGGTGATGAGAATTTCTGAATTGAACCAGAAAGTCAGATCGATTGGATTACCAGATTTTGGAATTGATTTAGAAAATCAGTCTGATCCTGTCTGGACTTTGGAAAAACATGTTTGTGCATGTGCCAATTTCCAAATTGATCCAGAATCTTTCCAAATTAATTTAGAGTATCTGATTCAGTTTGATGGTTCAAACTGCTTTGGAAATATGATTTGAAAAAAATAATTGTTTTAATTAAATTGTCTTCAAATCAAATCTCTGAACGGAATAATTGCACAGCCATAATAAAGTATGCTTGAGTCACTAAAATACTTTCCGATGAAGCAAAAGTATGTAATATCTACCTTGTCCCTCAAAGAAGACCAAAAGGCCAGTTTTTCATTCCAAAAAGATACAGCAGATAAGCCAAACTCAAAGAGGAAATAACTTTCCTTAAAATGAAGGAATTGTAGCAGAAATAAAACCATTTCAACATCTGTCAAAGGTAGAGCTCTGCCTTTGGCATCAGGACTTTGGGTTTTTTTAGGTACAGGTATTCCTCGTTTAGCGACCACAATTGGGACCGGCAACTTGGTCGATAAACGAAACAATCACTAAGGGAAACCGCGACTGTGCTTATGATCTTACTTCAGCTTTCCTTTGCTTTGCAGACCTGCAAAAGGTCATACATGCAAGAATTGGTCATAAAGGTACTTTTTTATCACCGTTGTAACTGTGAATGGTTGCTCAATGAGGCAGTTGCTAAACGAGGACTACCTGTATATGCTTGCTGCTAGGAAAGGGAAGTGGGGTTCTGTTTCAGGTGCCAAAATATCTGGGTGACTTTGGGGACAAAGTATTTATGAGGGGCAGCAACCCTTGGCTCTGCCTTGAGCTATAAAACTTCTAGACCCAGACCGATCACACACAGAAGGCCACTTTATTTCTTCTCCTCCTCCTAAACCAAACGGGAAACTTGAAAGTCTATTTTACTCTGCAATGTTCTTGATGCTTAAAATAAATAAAATAAAAATTCTTATAAAGTAGGGTCTAGAGAAGCAAGCTGCTAATCTGGTCCAACTCTGAGGGTTGTGAACTGAAATGGAATTGCAAGTATTTGAGTTTAATTAGGATGCAAATCTGGGAGGCACTCATCCGATTAGCCCCAGCCTGATTTCTGCTGCAGACGATTGGGACATTTCCTCACTTGCAGCAATGCCCCCAGGAGGGAAGGGAGGGGCTGGGGATCCTCCTTTGTCCTGGGCCCCGCTCTCCAAAATCCAACCCCCTGCAAAACTCATCTGTTTCCATCTAACTGTTCCCCTTGAGAATTGCTGCTGGGGACAGTCACTCACAGGAATGGCATGGGTATGTTTTTGCTTTCTTAATTTAGGGATTAATGGATTAGTAAACTGCCATGTGCATGTTCAGTTGAAAAGCAATGCTTTAAATCACACCTGACAAACAAGGTGTCACTTGGTGGTTGGTAGCAGCCAACAGCCAAACAGGCAGGGCCACCCACAGGGAATGATCAGAGAAGTCAGAACGGGAGCCGCGATCAAAGCTCTGTCTGTTTTTCATGTGAAACTTTGCTTGCACTGTCATGACTGCCAACTTGAAGCAAGAACCAAAATTGTTGGCCCCCATCAACAACAATTACTTGAGTTGTCCTGAGCTCTTATTTGCATCTGCTGGTGGACTGGTTCATCAGGTCCCTTCCTTGCTTCTCTAAGGCTGTTTCTACGAAATGCTCGCCGGGTGGTCACCCAACATACTTGTTTTGCCCAGGTATCAGGTGCAGCCTGGCCGTTAGAACCTCTTCTGATGAAGTGCTGCACAGACGAGTAGGGAGGGGTGAAGTGATCGAGCCCGATTTTGCTCAAATCAAACAGAAAAAAAACCCCAATCAAACTTTTATTCCAATGAAAGATGATCTTCTCCCAGTAAAATACCTAACAGATAAAAATAAGCTACGTGCACCAAAATAACAAAACAGCATAAAAGTAAGATGCAAGCCAGAATAAAACAAGGGAATAGAAATTGAAAAATACAAAGGGGACGAACTACAGGGATAATAAAAGAATTTCCTACTAGTGGGAATCCAGAAATGGGGTCCAGTTATCCCTGTCAAACTGTCTCTCTGTGCCAATTCAGGTGTTTTCCCTTCAAAGTTTCAAAAGAATATATTTGGACGTAGGCCTTTTAAAATGTACCTGAGAATTTGTATTTGCTTCATGCGTATTTCTGCTAATGCATGTACTTTGTATGCAGTTTTCCTAATATTCACCTTTTTTACAAGCATTTTGCTTATAATATGGTTTTTGCCTGTATTTTCACCATGAGTACACTTTCTGGTATTGTTTTTCACTGGAATAATTGCATTGAATCCGTAAGATGGCTAATATCAGTGCATAAGGGTGTTTTAGTTCAAGCCCTGCAAATAAGTTCTCATTAAAAATAACTAGAAGTGTTTCTTCCCTTTCCCTATAAATGCTTGATTCTGTTTTGCATTTTGATGCAGAGCTTGATTTTGTGTGACGTTTTGGTGGTTCTACCTTCAGCTGCTAAATCTTTGCCTTGTGCTATGATACACGTCTGCATCAGCAATTCACCCTTGAACATTGAAGTGATTAAGCCATCAGATAGATGCAGCTGCACATTTAGGGGAAGTTGCCTTTTCTGCAGGGAGTTGTAATTGGGTGTGCCGTTTTCTGCACCAGCATTACAGAGTTGTGGTCCAGGTCTCCTCTTCAGAGCTCTTGTTGCCTGCTTGTAAAGGAATGATTCCTCAAGTAGACTGACCAGGATATACATTTTTGTGAAATCTTCCCAACTTGTCAAAAGTCCCACCTATACTCCTTGGCTAGAAAATCTCCTCCTTCTCCTTCTCCTCCCTCCTCTCTTTTCTCCTCCTCCTCCTGTCCTCCTCCTCCTCCTTCCTGGGTTAATGAGCTGATCTCTCTTTTTTTTTTGCAGGGTTTGGTGGCA